TTTTTTTTAGTAGAGACAGAGTTTCACCATATTGGCCAGGCTGGTCTCAAACTCCTAACCTCAGGTGATCTGCCTGCCTCAGCCTCCCAAAGTGCTAGAATTACAGGCATGAGTCACAATGCCCAGAAAAAGTTGGTTTTATAGTAAAGAGTATGGCTATAAGGAGAAAACTATTTGATATGGCTATGTATATAACCAGAAGTCAACTGCCTACCAGGTAACCAATGCCATCCTTGGTTTGGATAAAAGAATCATAGTCATTGTACCATAAACATCATATACCCTGAGATAACAGGCTTTTCTAAATGGCTATTTTATTTTTCCAACTTGCCCACTCATACTACTTACCAGTTCCTATCCCCAATTTCCAAAGGACCTTATTTCATGATTGATTTAAGGATGCCTATATAAAAAGTCCCATTTATTCCATACAAAAACTGAAAAACAGACGTGTTCAGGCAATATTAAATAGATCAGACATTTAAAATCTGGTCCTCAAACCAATCTAGTCACCTCTCCTGATTCTATTTAAGAGACTCTTGTTTCGATTTATTGTTACTGGTTCCAATGTGGGAGGTAACAGTACACTCTATATGCGCTACTCTGATGGGAACTTCTATCTTTTTTACACTGAGCTTTGCTCTAATAATCAAAAGATCTCTTTCCTAACAGTGTTGTCTGAGTAGCCCAGAGTGTTTCAAAGGCATAATTAATTTATGCTAATCCAATGAAATAAATGTTAGAACATCTTCCTTTATTTTCTTTTATAGATGGTGTCTCGCTCTGTCTGTCGCCCAGGCTGGAGTGCAGTGGTGTGATCTCAGCTCATGGCAACCTCCGCCTCCTGAGTTCAAGCGATTCTCCTGCCTCAGCTTCCCTAGTAGCTGGGATGACCAGTGCCTGCCACCAAGTCTGGTTAATTTCTGTATTTTTTGTAGAGACAGGGTTTCACCATGTTGATCAAGCTAGTCTCACCCAACCCCAAATGATCTGCCCACTTTGGCCTCCCCAAATATTGGGATTATAGGTATCCTTATTTTATATACAAGGAAAGACAGTGAAGCACCTAGTCATTTTTTGGGGAGCTGTAAAACTGGGAGAAGACAGCCTGATTTTCAATCCAACCCAATAACTCCAATTTGAAGGTATATCCAATTGTGTATTTGGCCTAAAAAGACATGTCAATCAGTTAGAAAAAGACTACTAAAAAGACAAAGAAGTTCTGTACAAAGGAACATGTCATACAAAATGCCCCTAGAGCTGCATTGTCCAACATGAATAAAAGTATGTAAAAAGTCACTCATGATAATCTTTTGGATCTATTGGATTAAATGCATTATGAAAACTAATTTTGCCTGTTTCTTTTTACTTCTTTAACATGGCACTAGAAAATTTTAAATTACATTTGTGGTTCCAATTGTATTTCTATTGGACAACACTGCTGAAGAGATAGTTGTAAAATAAATACCTTATTAATTCTATTAACAAATACCTATTGCACATCTTTTATTATAAAGTTAGGCTTATGCTAAGTGTTGAGACTTGAAGACTAAACCAAGAAAATGGTCCCTGCCATCACAGAGCTTGCATTATTTCCTACACTTTTGCACATTTCACATTATCTCATTTGTGATTATGCATAATAAATTAAGGATACCTTACCATGTTCAGGGGCAAATACCAATACTGGACTTCGAAATCACAAAATATACATCAATAGATTCATGTTAATGAGTTTATACAACATTTATATTAATATGCTATATAATATTTACCTGGAAGCCTAATATCATCACATTCCCAACAGCTTCTCCTGGTTTCTTGCTCCTTCCTTTTAACAACTCTGGCTCCCTCCTTAAGGCTCACTTCTACCAGAGTCTCTTCAATTGGCAACCTGCCTGCTCTTCAAATCATAAGTACTACTTTGACCCTCAGGGGTCCCCCCAACGGGACAGAAGTTAACAATGTTAAGTGTACATAATTTTAAGGGGCCAACTCCAGTTCTTTGGACCAAAGACTCAGTTTTGAAGCTTCCTTTGGGCTTAAACAAACTAAGGTGATTTCTGAGCAAGATTTTGCTTCAGAATTCAATGCACAAACTTATTTGAGAGCTAAAACAACTAATCACTTCCGTCATATTGAGAGTTTCATGTAACAAAACCTTCCCAAACAGGACTCCTAAAACAAATTAACAGTAATTCTCTAGTAAATGATTTATAAAATAAAATTCTAGATAACATCAATAGGACAAGCCTATATAATGGTTTTAAGCCTCATGGTGCAGCTTTCGAAAAATGCTACCAATAAAAATAATTCTTCAGGTGTTAATGATAGCCACAGAGCAATGCAAGCAAAACCTACTTTATCAAAAAGTGTTACTTTTTTCCACTTTGATATATAAAGTATCACTGATACATGATAGCTTTTGAGAAACAAATGAAATAAACAAGTTTTAAACACCCAAAGTGATTTCACTGACTGGTTGAAGTCTACCACCAACTGAAATACAGACATGTTTAGCAAAGAAATTTATCCCTCAGTCTTTAGCTGTGCAGGTATGGTTAAGCTTTTAACGTTAGGCATCTTCTGTCTGCTAACAAAGAACCTGCATGACTTAAGAAAATTCATAATTACTCTTAATTGGAGAAAAAAATTTCCTAAGAAAAATTTAGCTATTCTAATAAGTAGTAGGATGAACACTTTGATAACCAGCTTTTAAGCTGAAGTACTACTCCATATATAATCATGGACAATCTAAATTAAACTACTATTTTCCTATGATGTGCTACTTTGCCAAATACAATGCAATATGCAATCAAATATAAATTTAGAAATTCAACTTTACTTTGGCCTTTCGCCCAAGGTGGCCTAATTTTTATCTTGGTGAAGAATGTTTAAAGAGCATAAGCTTATTTGTTCAGTACAAAACTAGCCTGCATTTGACAGTCAATTTCCACTTGTTAATGACATTAGAAAAACAAAAACAACCCCTTAAGATTTCCTATATAACTGGAGTAGAGAAGATATAAGTGAGCAATTCAGATGTAAATATTAATATAACAAAATTTATCTCCAGCTTACTCTATTCCCAGCACTTGTCTAGGGACTTTTACATGTTATCACAAATATTTTGCCTTATTTTCCCCACTTGGAAATTTCAGAAAACTACGTATCTCAACCATCTGTGCCCTGTAGATTAAAAACAACAACAACAAACTATGTGTTTTGGAGAAGGGGAAGAAATAATTTGAAACCAAAAAATTTCTATATAAATCTAAGTAAGTGTTCAAGGTAAAAACTGCTGCTGCTGCAGCAGCAGCAGCAGCACCACCACCACCACCACCACTGTGGGGGGTGGGGAATGGGTATCAGAACCTTCCATAATATGCAAGTGATTATTTCAAAATGGTTAACACAAAAACTTTGCTTTTAATTACCGTATTTAATTCTAAACAACCCCATAACAGTTAGTATCCTTCAATCCAACCTCATTAAAATAGAGGTGACCCAAGTGTCTCACATTCTCAAATGCTAAAATACTGCTTTATGACTTCACTTACATTCACATTTAGGAAGTGTATTTACTTTCCACTAAGAGGCTTAAGTATTTTTATTTATTTACTCGTCCATGTTCTTGAATGAAGTATCTTTAAAAATAAGAATCTTAGCGCCTCCAATGTGTTAGGTAGAAAATAATAGTTTTAGTCAAGCCAAATACATCAAAAATTCAAGAAATCGCCAACAATATTTTAAAAATAAATCCCAACACTGCCTGGATGACAATATGGACAGTTCTTTATAAAAGCTACTGATCAACTAAGACATCCCCTAAATGAGAAAACAAAATTTCCAGTGGCCACTATTTGGATACTAAGAATTGGGTTGTGCTTCAACTCCTAAAATAATGTTGCAGTTTTAAAAATTAACCTTACTGAAATCTCCTGGAAGCTGAAATAGTGGAAAAAAACAACAACAACAACAAAGAAAAACACACTAACATTAGTTGCCAACTGTAATTTTTTCCTCAAAAAGACACTTTGCAATGACATTAAAATATTTTCCATGGACACATAAAATGTAAACTTCAGTTAAATTGTATACAGTAATTTAAACAGAACATTAAGAAGCAGGGCATTAAACTAACCAATTTTAAGTGTTTTTTGACATAATTTGGTTTACTAAGTCCCAAGACTTAATTCTAAATCTTTACCAAGGAACTGTAGCAAGGAAAGAACATTTGAAAATACGATCATCGCCATTTTCAAAATAGAGAAGTATTTACATTTTAACTCAATTCAGACAGTTGAGTCAGCGTTAAAGCAGCATAAACAGGCAAATACGGTAATGGCTTGCATTATAAACAGAACGGCAAAACTGAAAATAAAAGTCAGGCAAACGGTCAGACTTCAAACCACCAAAAGGGTCAATGAATCTAGGTTAAAATAAGAAAAGACAAAAATAATGAAAAGACAGCCATGTTCTTCCAAAAAAAAAAAAAAAAAGAAGAAGGTGGAATGTAGAGATCACTAACAATTTAAGGCAACTCATCAAGGGAAGGGACTGCTTATGCCTCCACTGTGAACACTCAAAACTAGCACTTCTAGCCAACACCTAGGTTTGAAAATTGCAGCGGTACTTAAAAACTGTCTTTTCTAACGTCACTCCAACAGAACATTCTGCAACATTATGGATAGTAAACATTAAGCAGAGTAAAGCATCGTTCGTGTATTTATATTTCCAAGGGCCAATGGGAAAAAATTAAACCTTTTTCTCTCCCATATATAGCCTTAACCACTCTTCCTTCTTTTTATTTATTGCCCTCGTCGCGGGGTTAATGAACCCTAAACTTCTTTTTCTACTTCCCATTAATGGAAATGGAGGAAAAAAAAAAAAAAAAAAAAAAAAGCAACCCAGAGTGGAACCCAGAGAGGAAAAACTGAAAATTTAAAGTAGCAGCATTACTTGCTGGACGAGGGCTGGCAACACCCTAAAGGCTTAGAATGGGGAAGACCCCCGTTAACACATACTTCACCCCAAGGCTACACCATTTTGGTGTGGTACGTAATTTCTGCTTTTGAAGGAGCTGGTAGCAGTCCCAGGACGAACCTTCCCCGGAACACAGCTCCCCTCCCTAGGGCCCCAGGCAGCAGCGCTTTTGGGGCGATGTCCCGGCTCCGAATTTGCACCGAGGCCCGGAAATCGGTCCCGTTAGAGCCGATTTCACCCGTCAGGAATGCGTTCCGCCCCTGACGCCTCCCCGCGGCAGACGCCCTCGGGTCTCCCCGCTTCAGGGGCGGCAGGGGACAGCTCGAGGGAAGCGCCGCCTCGGCCCGTCACAATATCTCCGGGCAGGCCGCCGGCCGCAGACGCCAGGGCCAGGAGGACAGGGCTTGGGGCGGATCCCACGCTCCGCCGCGGCCCCCGCTGCCCGGGAGACGCCCGCGCCCGGGCCCGGTAGGGGACCCGGAGCAGTCCGAGGCCTTGCCCCCTAAGCCGGCCCCGGCCCCCGGCCCACGTTGGACACGGGAGGGGGCGCCTTTGCCACAGGATTTCCGAATCCCTTTCTGTCCCAGGGATAGGCGCAAAGGCTGCGGCCCGGCCAGAGCTCCCCGGGTCGTAAGCGGGCGCCGCCCCTGCCCTCCCGCTCCGGGACGCAAGCTCCTCCGGTGCCCGCCCGTACCTTTAACTCCTCAGAGCGGCGGCGCAGGGCAGAGGGCGAGCAGGCCCATCTTCCAGCAGCGGCGACAGCAGCCCGAGGAAGCGCGGGGGAGGGTTCCTCCGACGCGCCGAGGCGCCTCTGTACTGGGGCGGGGACGACGGAGGGGAGGGGTCCTGACGGCCGCTTTCCCGAACTCCTCCTCCGCAGTTGTGGCTCGACGGCGGCTCCCGGGAACCAGCGCCTCAACTGCCATCTCCCCCTCCCTCAGCCCCCGCTTTCCCCGCTTTCTCCTCCCACTCCTTCCTCCCGCCCCCTGCCGCCCCGCCCCGGCGCGCCGCCCGCGTGCTTTGCGTCATGGCGTCACGCCCACCGGGCCCACTGCGGGCGGCTCTAGAGGAGGTCGTCGCCTCACGCACGTTGGTTCCGCGCCCGCGCGCTGCACCGGAGTGGTCCCGACTGCGGCTCCCACGCCTTTGCCTGGCTCAGGGGACTTCGCCCTGAGTGCGCCGGGCGCTGGGGTCAGTGTCTCTCTGCCCGCCTCTCCGTGGCCCCGAGAGCGTCTCCTCCTAGGACAGGTCGGGGTGGCTGGAGCTGCGCCTGATTGAAGGGAGTCGCCGGACTCGGCGACCCTGGCTCTTGGCAGTTCGCAGGGCATTATTCATCCCTTTGTGTTCTCAGGATTCACCTGCTGGATCGGCGGGCCCAGGGAGAGAAGCGCCGGGATGTTGCAGCTCTCGGCGAGGAAGTATCCTTTCCGAGAGGGCGGCAGCACCCCGTGCGTTTGCAGCCGCCCTCCTAGTCTTAGTGGACCTCACTCTTTGCAGAGGCTGTTAGGAGCAGTGCTTAGCCACAATAGCAAGCCTACGTAAGGGTTTGGAAAGTGTCTTCCACCCACCTCTATTGTTTGTGTGTGTGTGTGTGTGTGTGTGTATGCTGTTTTGCGGTCACATAATCAGAATTCCTATTTCATCTCTAATACATGCCGAATTACTTTAATCCAGCTTTATTTGTTCCTTCCTCTCATATCTTTTCAGCCAGTCATATCCCCTTTGAATGTTTTAATCTACACTAGTCTTGGTATAAATTCTTCTTAGTTGAATAAACAAATTTAGTCTGGGCCTGGTGCATTTCCTCCTGGTTTATTTCTCTTCAACATTTAGATCACCCTTCCGTTGAATACTGAGAAACGAATGTGATTGAGGCTGGACAGAATGTCCATTTGCCATCTGTTACTTAACTAAATATATCACTCTCTCAGTCCTTGTTTAGTGTGTCTGTGTAATTTAAATTAGAAACAAACCAAGGAGACATGGTCTTTCCGAATGCGCTTGGTATCTTTGGTAACCCAGTAAATGTTTACCAATTGGAAAATTGAACAAGCTAGGCAGTTTAGGTTTAAGTGTCTTTGACCTCGAATCTTAAAGGAAGTAATTATGAGTATGTTTATTTTCCTTTATGGGACGTTTTAAAGCTGTTACACCTTTAAATGCTACTTGAAGGCTGCCAGCAATTTTACATATGGGATACTTTAAGCCTACAGATAGCACAAGAATAGTAAGTTAAGTACCCATACATCATACCCTTCTTGAAAATATATCAACACGTTAAACAGCATTTCAGCACAGATGGAGCATTGGCTTGAAAGGGGGTTTTGAATAAAGAAGCTGTGCGGAATGAAAATGGTCTTACACTGTACAATTGTATTTTCCAGAGATGCTGGTCTGGCTTTCTTGTCTTCTTAAACGAAGGACTTTCTATTCTTCACTAGGGCAAATAAATCTATCAAGAAACAAATACCTAGTGAACATCTCCAACTTGAATTCCTAGAGGCATCTCAAACTCAGGCTGTCCAAGATGTAGTTTGTTCTTTTCTCAAAGTGTGCTTCTTTCATTCACCCAGACACAAGCCAGAAACCTAGGCGTCTTCCCAGGCCCCATCCTTTCTGTCCCTTCCAATTGATGACTAACCACCAAGTCCTGTTTATTATACCCCAGAAATATCCCTGTGCTCTCTCTTCCGTATCTCTCTCTGCCTTTAGAGCAGTGTTTTCAAATTTAGCTGCATATTGGAATCCTCTGGGAAGGTTTAAAAACTTCTTATGTCCACACTGCACCCACCAATTAAATCAGAATCGCTGATGGTGGTGCTCAGGGGTCAGCAGTTTTTCAAACTCCCCAGGTGTGCTGGGCATGGTGGCTCACACCTGTAGCCCTAGCACTCTCAGAAGTGGAGGTAGTTGGATCACGTGAGACCAGGAGTTCAAGACCAGCCTGAGCAAGATGGCAAAAATACAAAAATTAGCCTGGCATGGTTGCCAATGTCTGTAGTCCCAGATACTCCGGGGAGCTAAGGCAGGAGGATCATCTGCAGAGCCTTAGGAGGTAAAGGTGCCAGTGAGCCCTGGTCATGCCACTGCCCTCCAGCCTGGATGACAGAGTGTAAACCCTGTCCCAAGAAAGAACAAAGGAAGGGAAAGAAAAAGGGAGGAAGAGAAAGAAAAGATGAAAGAAAACTGGGTGCAGTGGCTCAAAAAGTAATCCCAGCACTTTGGGAGGCTGAGGTGGGTGGATCACTTGAGGACAGGAGTTTGAGACCAAGACAAAAAATACAAAAATGAGCGGGGCATGGTGGCACACGTCTGTAATCCCAGCTACTTGGGAGGCTGAGGCATGAGTTGCTTGAACCCAGGAGGCAGAGGTTGCAGTGAGCCGAGATTGTGCCACTGAACTCCAGCTTGGGCAATAGAGCAAGACTTCATCTAAAAAACAACAACAATAACAACAACTCTTCTCAGGTAATTCCAATGCACAACCAAGGTTGGAAACCACTGCTAAGGGCTCATGATTTCTCACTAGAATACCACAAAAGCCTAATTGGCCCCAGGTGCCTTAATTTTGGCTGCATTTTCTTTTATTTCCCTCCTCTCTTCTAATTCATTTAACAGCAATTTGATAAATATTTGAGTGCTTACTATGTTGGGGATGGAGTGTTTGCTGTTACAGGCAATGGGACTAAAGCAATGAAAAATCCTATATATCCATTAGCATCATGCTTACATAGGGGGGTGAGGAATGAAGAAGAAAAAATACTGAAAAGGAAATACATTTACCAGAGTAACAGAAACCAGAGAGGCTGTAACTTTAGTTTTGTCTCTCAAACTAACATCAATTCTTCTGACATTTGAGCTGGGTTCTATAAGACAAGAAGGAGGCAAACTAGTTAAGAGGTGAGGAAGACAGAGGAGCAGCAAGCAGATGCAAAGGTCTTAGCCAGAAACACTTGTCAAATTCAAGGCAGCTAGAGGCTGAACATAGTAAAAGGGAGGGGAGTAGGATGTGGGCGTGGGGGGTGTATGGTCAGAAAAGTAGGAGGGAGCCAGATTATTTAATACCTTTTTAGGTATGGTAAGGAGAATTCTAAATGATTGGTATGAAGTTTGATGAGACAATAGGTGTCTAAGTAGCATGACATCTGATTTGTCTTTGAAAACGATCACTCACGCTGTTCTGTGGATGAGATTAAAGCAGAGCAAGAGTGGAAGTAGGGAGACCAGTTAAGAGGCTACTCCAGGAATCCAATAAAGATGTCTTAGTTCTTTGAACCAGGATGGAGAGTATGGAGACAGAAGTGGATGGTTTTGGTATTTGTTTTAGAGGTATAATCAGTGGAACTTGAATGGAATGGAATAAAAGTGGTAAGAGCAAGATAACTTTTTAAATCTTTTTTATTTTTTGAGACAGGGTCTCACTGTCAACCAGTGGCTCGATCTCATCTCATTGTAACTTCCACCTCTGGGGCGCAAGTGATCTTTCCACCTCAGCCTACTGAGTAGCTGGGACTTCAGGCACATACCACCATGCCTGGCTAATTTTTGTATTTTTTGTAGAGATGAAGTTTTGCCATGTTGCTCAGGTGGGTCTCAAACTCCTGGGCTCAAGTAATCTGCCCACCTCAGTCTTCCAAAGTGCTAGGATTACAGGCACGAGCCACCGTGCCCAGCCGAGAACTACTCTTCGAGTACATACTATGTGACAGACACTATTCTGATTGCTTTATAGGTATTAAGCCACTTAGTTTATCATAAAGAGTCCCTGCAGGTCCTAAATTAGGATCTGAGGCACAAGAGTTTAAGTAATTTGCTGAAAGTTACGTAGCTAAGTGGCAGAGCTGGGATTTGGGCCATCCAGCAGGTTGGCTCCTGCAGAGCTCATGCTCTTCTCTTAACCCTGCTCTCAGCCCCTTTGCTGTGTCACAGTCACAGCCCAAGCGAACATTTCTTTAGCCACAGTAAGCTACTCACAGTACCACAAATTCCCCCATCCTTTCTTCTCTTCCTTCTCTTCTTTCTTTCACACACCCTGCTAACTTGTTCTCTTTGTAGGTGCTATTTAGCTTTGTGGATGCTACTGTGCCTAGAATGCCCCCTGGCTTCTCCTCTGCCTGGCTCATGTTTATCAGCTCTCACTGGTCCTGACAGGCTAAATCAACCTCACGTTCTCTAGTTCCACAGCAACTATGCTTACCTCTATAATTTTCTATATAAAGCACTTCATTATTTATAGGCCTTTCCCACTAAACTTTGAAGGCAGAGAGCTTAATGCCTGACACCTAGGGAGAGAAGAAGGAAGCATGCAAAGAAGCTTAGTGATGCACATGACACGCCTACCCCAGATGCCTCGGGACAGCAATCTGGTATTGTCACTGCCCTTGAGCAGCTTGTAAACTTGCCTTGGAAACTAACACAGAGAGAATCACTCTAAGCTGGTGCGGTTACACACGCCTGTAATCCCATTACTTTGGGAAGCTGAGGCAGGCAGATCATTTGAGCCTAGGCAACATGACAAAACCCATCGCTACAAAAAATATAAAAATTAGCCTAGCGTGGTGGTGCACGCCTCTAATCCCAGCTACTCATGAGGCTAAGGTGAAAGGATCACTTGAGCCTGGGAGGTGTAGGTTGCAATGAGCCAAGATCACACCACTGCACTCCAGCCTGGGTGACAGAGCAAGACTGTGTGTCCAAAATAAAAAAAGAAAAAATATATATTTGTATATATATATAATCACTCTGATATAAGGGCCAATAAAGTACATATGATATAAACACAGGACAGGGTACCATTAATTCTTCTTCAGGACATCAGAGGCAAGAAGCTTGGCCTTATATTTCACTGGGAAAAAAAATGCAACTAGGAATGAATGGGAGCTTGGGAGCTTCCTCCACCATTATTTTGCCTGGCTACGGAAGGCAGTCTTGGGCCTTGTCCAGGAAGACTTGGGAGATTCTCATGTGGTACAACTGATCATTGGAATGTCCTACTTCTTGACTCTCCTTCTTGTCCTATGTGGCTAAATATACAGATTTCTGAATTGGTTCAGTTTTTTTCTCAGCAGAGTAATTGGTCCAATTTCTTTTTTTTTTTTTTTTTTTTTTTTCAGACACAGTTTCACTCTGTTGCCCAGGTGGGAGTGCAGTGGTGCAGTGTGATCACACCTTGACCTCCTGGGCTCAAGTGATCCTTCCACTTCAGCCTCCTGAGTAGCTGGGACTACAGGTATGTGCTACCTACCATGCCTGACTAATCTCGCTTGTTAAAATAGATTTCTGAGTTTCATCTCAGATTAATAGAATCATTATTGGTGGGGTTGGGGTGCTAGAATCTAGTTTTCCAAACTCTCCTGGTAATTCATATCCATGTTGGAGAACCACAGCATAAGTGTTTCAGCCATTATGATAATATCCCAACTTTAGGAAGTTTTCTTCCACTAGATCTCTCACAGGGCCCTTGAGAGAGTGCCAGGGGGAAAGGAAATTGTTTCTTTCCTCTTCATGGAACCTATGCAATTACTTATAATCTTGTTTCTCCTTTCACCCATTCTCCTGACATATGCCCAAACCTCTTCTTGATGGATCCTCAGGTGACTGTTCCCGTTTGCCTACTCCAGTCTTTCTTGGTTCCCTTCCCTGTCTGACTGACTCACAGACAAGCCCACACTGTGCTGATGACCTGGATAGAATCCCCCAGAGCCTCCTCCAGATTAAGCTAGACTCACTCCATGTTTGACAGGATGAGGTTGGCTCACCAGGTCTATAGTGGCAGGATGTGCTGGGGCAGGATGCTAGCAGGTGATGAGCAATGACTCAGAGTGACCATATGTGGCAGTTTGCCCAGGACAGTCATACCTTACACCTATGGTGGGGGCCTGATTATTAATAGTACCCTCTTTCATTCTCAAAGGGTCCTGGGTTAGACAATAAATTACATGGTCACCCTGGTAATGAACCTCATGTCAAGGGCAACTGTTGTGACATTTTAGCCCCTGGATAAGGCCTAGACTACCCCTCCTCACCCTCTGCCCCTGACTCCGTGTCATGGCTCTGTTCTCCCCTGAGATTTCCTTAAACAATCGATTGTGATATAATACTTCAGGCCTCATTAAGGGATTTCTAGGAGCCATGAAATTGTTGCTATATTTACTCTCTCTAACAATATCTGGAAAATATTTTTTTTTGGTTTTAGCACCTGGTATAGTTGTGTTTCCCTTGTTTATTATTCCCATTTGTTTTTGTCTTCTGGAAACCTAATTGTGGAACTGACAGTATTTCCCTTGGCTGTGAGAAAGCTTAGAGCCTTATATGTAGTCTCCTTCCGGTCTGTGTATAATATTTAACAGGATGTATTTTATATATTTAACTCACTCTTGGCTTTTACATTCTGTGTCCGCATTTCTTCATGCCTTCACACTGAATTTTTCTGGTGCTTTATTTTATGTATATTTGTAGACTGTCTTTTTATCAATTTTGAAACAAGGCAAATATTTTTTAAAAAGTGTATGAATACATGCCCACAAAAAAATGGGTACTGATTGTTACATAACTGAACAGGATTATATTTAAATGTATAGACAAAATAATTTCCACACTTATGAAATATAATTGTAAGTAATGAGTAGCACTTCAAATAATGCTGGCATTAGCATTACTCAACTACATTATTATCTAAAGAGTGAAATGATTGCAAACAAACAAGAGATTAAATTAATTTTTAAGCTGGAGTACTTTTAGATATGACCCAGAACCTTGATACCCAATAATGCAACAAAGAACACTCACTCCCAGATTTACATAGCCTAATTTGATAGCATTCATGGTTGTTTACCCTCAAAGTGAAATCCTATGCTGTTGGAAATGGAGAAAGGGAGAGAAGAGGGATGGCTGGAGGAATCAGATTTGGGAATGCACAGTCCAGATGATAACAGTGACCCACAAGGAGGAATTGTGGCCAGAAGCATGCAGCCCAGAGCAATCCCCAGGCAGTTGTTCTTCCTGCTGCCCTGGATAATGTGGTGAGAGGTTATAGGGACTAGCACCCTGTGGTTTGCAGCTAATGTAAAGCTGAATAAAGAAATTCACCATAATCAAATTACTGAGGAATATATTTTACAACTAGTTTGTTTTGGAGGACACATTGAATTTCCAAGACTCAAAGGTAGGCATTCTATGGATGGCTTAGTAAATTACTTTATGGATAAATTGGGCTTATAGTTAAACCTGTTTCAAAAAAATTTTGTAACCTAAAATTTTAGTGAGACTATGTTTTTTGTGGTGATTCCGGCTCTTTTTCAGCAAGAATATATATTTTTCTTAGGATGGAAGTATTTTTTTAAATACAAAAGCTTTCAGAAAATAAGGTAATACATCCATGTAGACCCTGTAAGAATAAATGTTAAATTTTCTCATATTCATATTATTATTTAAAACAAGAGAAATGAGACATAGAAATGGAGTTGAGGCCGACTTTGCACTTTCCCCTACAGCACCATTCCTTTCTTCCCTCAGGTAACTGTTATCCTGAAGTTTTAACTATCTGGTTCACTTTTTGTATTTTGAGACAGAGTCTCACTCTGTCACCCAGGCTGGAGTGCAATGGCGCAATCTCATCTCATCGCAACCTCTGCCTCCCGGGTTCAAGTGATTCTCCTGCCCCAGCCTCCTGAGTAGCTGGGATAACAGATGCCCGCCACCACGCCTGGCTAATTTTTGTATTTTTAGTAGAGAAGAGGTTTCACTATGTTGACCAGGCTGGTCTCGAACTCCTGACCTCAGATGATCCACCCGCCTGAGCCTCCCAAAGTGCTGGGATTATAGGCGTGAGCCACCACATTTTTTTGAGACGGAGTTTCGCTCTTGTTGCCCAGGCTGGAGTGCAATGGTACAGTCTTGACTCACTGCAACCTCTGCCTCCTGGGTTCAAGCAATTCTCCTGCCTCAGCCTTCCCAGTAGCTGGGACTACAGGCACCTGCCACTACGCCCAGCTAATTTTTGTGTTTTTAGTAGAGACAGGGTTTCACCATGTTGGCCAGGCTGGTCTCAAACTCCTGACCTCAGGTGCCTTGGCCTCTCAAAGCGCTGAGATTACAAGTGTGAGCCACTGTGCCTGGCCAATCTGGTTCACATTTTTATACTTTTATAACATAAGTACAAATTCACAAATAACATATTCTATTGTTTTATGTTTTAAATAGTTTTTACTAAGCAAAATTTTATCTAAATGATTTTATACTGAATGCATCATTTTATAGGCTTTCTTTTTTCTTTTTTTTTTTTTTTTTTTTTTTTTTGAGACGGAGTTTCGCTATTGTTACCCAGGCTGGAGTGCAATGGCGCGATCTCGGCTCACCGCAACCTCCGCCTCCTGGGTTCAGGCAATTCTCCTGCCTCAGCCTCCTGAGTAGCTGGGATTACAGGCACACGCCACCATGCCCAGCTAATTTTTGTATTTTTAGTAGAGACGGGGTTTCACCATGTTGACCAGGATGGTCTCGAACTCTTCACCTCGTGATCCACCCGCCTCGGCCTCCCAAAGTGCTGGGATTACAGGCTTGAGCCACCGCGCCTGGCCTAGCCTTTCTTTTTTCAACAACAACAACAACAACAGCAAAACTCAACACTATTTTCAAGATCTACCTATGTTGATACATGGAAATTTAGTTTATTCATTTTGAATGCTGTGTAAATGAGCATACCTGTATCTTCTTGCTCATGCAGGAGAGTTTCTCTAGGGTATATGCCTAGAAGCAGAATTACTGAAGAAACTGTTTTAAAAGTTGAAAAATACTATAACCAACCTCCTTCCCCATTCTGATTACACTTATAGGTGCTAATATTCACTAGGTGGAAAAATAACAGGTGCATTTGGAGTCTCAGAGCCCTTCCAGTAAAAGGTCTAAAATGACTAAATCAGGGTGATGAATGTTCATACATCAAGGTCCTTTAGACCTGTTTCTTATCTTCATAATGAAGATAATAAAAATACCTTCTTCATAGGGTTTCTATATGGATTAGATAAAGTAATACATATAAAGCATTTAGCACAATGTCTGGCACTTAGTAATAGCTCAATACAGGCATACCTTGAAGATATTGTGGGTTCAGTTCCAGACAACAACTATTGCAAATAAAACAAGTCACACAAATTTATGGTTTCCTCGAATATAAAAGTTATATTTACATTGTACTGTGGGCTATTAAGTGTGCAATAGCATTATGTGTAAAAATGTATATACTTTAATTTAGAAATACTTTATTGCTATCAAAATTGGAACCAATCCTCTCAAACTCTGCTGCTGCCTCATCAACTAAGTTTATGAAATCTTCTAAATCCTTTGTTGCCATTTCTACAATGTTTCCAGCATCTTCTCCAAGAGTAGATTCCATCTAAAGAAACTATTCTTTGCTCTCACCTGTTCAAGTTTTATCATGAGATTACAGCAATTCAGTCACATCTTAGGGTCCACTTCTAATTCTAGTGTTCTTGCTATTTCTATCACGTCTGTGGTTACCTCCTGCCATGAAGTCTTGAACCCCTGAAAGTCATCCATGAGGGTTGGAGTCAACTTCTTTCAAACTCCTGTTAATGTTGATATTTTGAACTCTTCTCATGGGTGACAAATAGCTTTCTGATTGGTGAGTTTTTATGGAAAGTTTTCAATTTGTCCAGATCCATCAGAGGAATCGCTGTCTATGGCATCTATAGCCTTACCAAATGTATTTCTTAAATAATAAGACTTGAAAGTTGAAATTACTCTTCTTTCCGTAGGCTGCAGATGGATATTGTGTTAGCAGGTATGAAAACAGTATTAGTATCCTTGTACATCAGAGTTCTTGGGTGACTAGGTGAATTGTCAGTAAGCAATAATATTTTGAAAGATATCTTTTTTCTGAGCAATAGTTCTTAACAGTGGCTTAAAATATTCAGTAAACCATGCTGTAAACAGATACGTGGTCATTCAGGCTTTGTTATTCTGTTTCTAGTGGACATGTAAAGTAGGTTCGGCAAAATTCTTTTTTTTTCTTTATCAATACCCTGAGAAAATTTAGCACAATTCTTAGGAGCCCTAGTGTTTGTGGAATGGTAAGTGAGCACTGGCTTCAATGTAAAGTCCCCCAGTGCGTTAGTCCCTA